ATGAACCATGAGTAAAAACCGTTGTTAATCACTTCTTTCTTATGGACATGTTTAATTGTTTGTGTTAATTAGTGTTAAACAGCTGGAATGAATCAATTTTTGATTCATTTAAGTGGTTTTGCATGTATACCCCATTGTACTAATGTCCCAATATTGAATTCATGCATTGCTTTTAGTATTAAGCAATGAATCATATTACTAGTCTTTGGCAATTATTAATTTAAATTGGTTGAATATGAAGTTTAATTTTAAGTAATAAAACTATAATGCATGGTATGTGATTATCCAGAAATAATTTATAAAACAAATTATTTGAAATAATTTATGCAAATAGTATTTAGATTTGTTTGTCTTTTTCCCCATATGTTCTTTAAAATCTAAAAAAAATGGTCAATTTCATCTCATTATTTGTTAAAAGTTGAAATTTTTGTACTAATTAAAAATAATCGGTGGCTTTTGGGTGGTACTATCGACACTCAAATTACTCCTCCAAAATGTATTTGTAACAAGATAATGAAAATCTATTCCCTGAAGATCAATACTGATAATGAAAAAATATTAAACAAATATTTGGAAATATACATACATATATACATATATGTTTAAGAATATTACATTATGATTATAATTACATCTTACAAACAGAGCAATTGATTGTCAGCCACTGACAAATAATACACATTTGTGCATGTATATATGTATATGTATTTATATATATAATATATATGTGTGGGGGAAGGGGGTATACATACACACACACACAAACATATATACATATATATATGCACATATCCATTCCCCAGCAGGAAAAAAAACTACTTTTCACAAAATAGTGCAAATGAAAAGTCTGAAATTATTATGATTTCCTAATTTCAGTTGTAAAATATATGAACTTGCCTACTTTAAATCTACAAAGAGCATCAAGACACAAGACACCCAGTTTATGAATCAGATACTACTACCGTATATGTTTGAAAAAACACTATATTTAAACAATGTCTCACTGTGATACAAATTCATCATTCTATACCATTCTGGTATAGAATGATGCATAGTTTTACATGAAAGACGTATTAAGAATTCATTGAAAGAGCTGCCCGTAAATTGCACATTAGCAATGTTTGAAATAGTTTTGTAATCAGTGAGATGATTAATCTTATTCTCATATTATCGTCTGTATTATGAAAAAGCTGCAAGCCAGGTCAAATGGCATATCTAAAATAATGAAACATTTGGTAATAACCATGTAACTATGTGCTTACCTTTCCTCTTCTTACCTGTAAATCTAGAGCAAAAGTAATGGCAGAATATTCTTTACAATATGGTAAATGTTTAGATATGGTATTCCTCTAGTAAGGAAGGCAAGTAAAAAATATTATTTCAGACTATTGCCCTACCCAGTTTTGTTCATAGATCTTTCTTGTAAGCATACTTTCATTTTTTTTTTAAATACAGGGATTTTCGGTCTATATACCCATAAGGCATGAAGATGCTTTGTTCTTTTCCATTGTGCAGCTGGAACAAACTGTTGTAAGAACTGCCGTCTCTACTTAACAAAAGCTATTATTTAACAAGATACGTATAACAATATTTAAATGCAAATATCTGTCATATTCTTCTGAGCATTACTGTTGCCTATAATCCAGTAAAAAGTTTGTTATAGCAAATTACAAGGTTCAATTGAAAGTTCTGACTTCTGTGCCAATCTAATTCTATTTCATGCCCATGTCAATGAATTTTACAAACTATTCCGAGCATTGATTAGTTAGTTGTATCTTCACCCAGGCTCCACCATTTTTTAATTCTTTCCCTTCTTCCTTTTCAAATTAAGTACTGTAACTCTCTCTCTCTAGATTACAAGAACTGTGAACCACGGTGTATTTTCTGAGTAACACATGAAAGGTAGTGACTGAGTCTCTCTATATATATTTGGTAAGCATACATGGTAAGTTTACAGACTTTTGGATATTTCATGGTCAACATTATAAAAGCTAGTGTGCAATTCAATCCAGATATAACTGAAGGGGGGCATGACTCAGCAAACTCAAAAATGCTAAGAGGAAAGGAACAATCTTAACCATGAAAAAGAAATGAAGAGAGAAGTTACATCTCCACTGAGTCTGAACCTTCAAATGCAAAACATCAATACAGTGCTTTTAGCAGAAACTTTGGGACAGCTTAGCAGCAGATACATCAACAAATGTTGAAGCAGTACGAGCATGACCTATTAAGAGGACTAATTAATATTCTCAAGTAAGACACAGACATTTAAGAAAAAATATTCAGCAGTATTTCCTCCATCATAAACACATAAAAACAAGGTAAGCTTCGTACTTGAATCCATAGTATGAGAAAATTGCATATTAAAATAGAAATAGAATCTGAACAATGTACCTACTCTTTTTAAGAAAAATAAACATAAACCAAAATTGAAAACATACGTTATAATGTGTCAAATGATACTAAAAGCAAAAGAACTAAATACACAAAATGGTACTGTACAGAAGAAAACACTTTACTAATTATATGTAAATATCACCCCAACATATGTACATTGTAATTTTAATGTTGAAAAGATACAATATATTTTTATTCAATATTTAAAAAAATAAACTATAACTTCTTTAAGATGAAGATTTGCACAGTTAAACACATTCCAGTTTGATAGCAAGCTACCAATCATCAGTATGTAAATTAGACTTCCTGCATATTATGTGCATAAACTACACATAGATTTTTTTTTTAAAAAAAAAACAAGCTTAACGCGACTTAAATTTCTTTCAAAAAGAACAAATATATTAATTGGTCTGAAGTACAACAATATTTATTTTTTAACTAAGACTTTTGGCTTTTGCTATGTAGAATACATGGATCTGGATCTTAAAAAGCTACTTAGGTGTAAACCACAGGCTTGGTCATCCCAATAGGGTTTTTTTTTTAAAAAAAAAAATCTTGTCACCTTGGTCATAATCATTTCTGTAATCTTCACACCATTAAATCAGAAGGATGCAAACATAGTTTAATATGTTGCACAATGAACTGCTACTTAACACTTGAAAGCCTAAAGTTCCTAGTTAAAAAACTATTCATGCAGCTTGTATAATGGTCATAGTTTCTATTATTAAAAAAGACTGCTGAATTATATGGGAATCATATTAGTTCTCTAGAAAAATAAAGACATACAGCTAGGTCCCCTCTCACTTTTTCTACAGAACAAAGAAACTTTCTGAAGTTGTCTGTAATGGATGGCTTTAGAGCTCAAGAAATCTAACCTACATTATACATATTATTCAAAATTATTCTGAATATTCAATAATTACAGTGAATCACTGGGAAACATTCCTGAGTTTCAATAATATTGGAATTAAATTTGACATTAGCTTTGCTTTAAAGAGTGCCTATACAAAGTAACTATTACTTAGTGTAATAGTAATACTTTAAAATGAGGATTACTTTAGCTACAATTCTCTAACAAACTCCAGATTCAAACTAAAAGTCAGGGAAAAAAAAGAGTAGAAGAATTGGAAGCTATCAACTAAACTTAAATTTTTCTTTAGCAGAATAATGGCACTTGGTAATCTGAACGTTTTAACCTTTGACCCTTCTGAAAATAATGTATAATGTTTGAATCTCTTCAACCTGTAATTAATTCAAAAGGTTACTTTGGGGAGGGAAGAATATAACTTATATCTGTTCCTTTCATTAACTTGTCAACAAAATTCCAGGTCAAAGTACAGCAAAAAAATAAGAAGGCAAAACAGCCCCCTTTTGCTTTTCATGTATACATTATTCTTCAAAACATGATGAACACTTTCTTTAGAATAAGAAATGCAATTTAAAGCAGTGATCTACAGCACAGATATCACGTATTGCTGACACACCACATGCATTCAAGGTTAAATTCGACAGGATGCATTCCCAGATTAAAGTGGAGGAGATAACATCTTTAGCTCCCCCCCACACACCCGCATTACATTAACTATATCAAATATAACTGCAATGAATTGATCAAAATATAGGCAGTGAATTGTTTCCTTTGGAAAGAGAAAGCTGCCAAAAAACTCCCACTGCTTGAGAAATGATTTTAAGGAAAACTGATGCCTCAGTATTTCCAGCAGCCATTGCCTCTGTCCCTGGCATTTCCCGCTGGAGAACACTTGTCCTTTTTTGAAGCTTCTGAGTCTGTTCAGTGACAAAATTTAGTCATTCCACACAGCAAGCACCCTGAAAAACTCCCTCGTCTAAACTTCAATTGTTCTTGTAGGTTCCAAAGATTATCAACTTACAAAAGTAACTTTAAAAGGAGCATTGTTGAGTAGTCGTACTTGGAAAAGCCCATGTCCCATTTTCTCAATCTTGTTTTAAATGTACTTCATCTTTCAAATTTTTAACATGTAGAGAAACAACCCTGTTTCCTGGGTGGGGAAGACATGTAAACATGGCTCCATGGGCCTTACAACTGCATTGCAACCTATGCTGTCTACTTACAGCCCATTCATTCTGAAGGAGCAACTTCCTGGTCATATATACATGTCTCAGCAGTTGAACATTAAGCTTGGGAGGGCAAGAGTGGATCGATGGAAGAGGAAGACTACTCTAAAGTTCATGACAAAGTGCATTTCAACCACCATCAGAAGCAGTGACAATTTTTCTCTGCCCAGAATTGATTGCACTAACTCAGAGGTCCAAAGTCCTACTAGAATCTCTGAGGCACTCTTGGTTCCAAGAGACAAAAAAAAAAAAAAAAAATCATCACAATTCATTAGTCTTTGCAGAACTTTAGACTGAGAAAACTAACCCGTTTATTATTTCTCAGGAAAGCCAAAGCTTCATTTTGATAGGGATCATATTCTCCATTTCCTCTAATCTTCTCAAGACTCACAGTGTTGAAATGGGAACTGATCTGCCTATAATGGATTGCACATCACCCAAGGAGAACCAAAGGCTTGGAAAAGGCATAAAGTATATTTTATACTGTTTCACAATGACATTTATGGGAGAGGGGGCGAAAACATGAGGTTTTATTGCTGTTTCAGTACAAAATATAGTATAGTATATAAATGAATCGAACAAGATCATAGAAGCCAGGATTTTTCAGATGATAGGATGAAGATTGTGGATGTTGCTCAAAAAAGAATTGGACAGATGGAAAAAATATAGGAAGGTATAAACAAGTTAAACTTGAGATATTAGTTGCATATTGAAACTTGGGGATCGGGACTGCTTAGTCAGAGGAGCTCCTGGTGAGTGGGCATCTTTACCATTTCCAGCTTGATTTAACCGGTCCTCTTGTAGACTAATGGTTGAAAAACGATTGGAGTTGCCAGCTGCTAAGTTAGTAACACCATCACCGCCAATACCAACATTGGAACCCATCTGACTACCATTCACATAGTCAAACGATTTACTGGAAGAAGCACTTGCAGTTCGTATCAGGCTTACACTGCTGGCTTTTGGTACCACCTGCCCAGCAGGCAAATTCAAATGTTTCTTTGTGGGAGTAATTTCAATTGCATCTGTACTGAGGTCAATTGACTGGTACAGGTACTGCTTATGGGCAGATTCTCGAGGGCTGTCTGTGGGTTTGGTAGGCAAGATGATCTCCTTATCCTTGGCCAAAAGCCCAGCAACTCCTTTTCTTAAACTGGCCCTCTGAGATGCGGATGAAGGTTTGGTCCCGGGTGGCTGGCTGCTAAGTGATGCCCCAGAGGAAAACCCTTCGTCAGCATCATTGAAGTTCACAGACTCTTCTCTTCCACTGACTCCGTCAGTATCTGAAAATATCAAAGACCCCAGATTAAAAAATTACAATACTATGATTCAATTTCAAAAACGGGTAGGATTGCACTTTTTTTTTTAAGCAAAATCATGTTGCAAACATTTTGGAGAAACTTAAAACTTCAAGTTCCAGTGTTTTTGTTGTAATTGTTTTTATACTGCAGTCTGGAACAGAATGAATTTGTTACACAATGCTTAAATGGATTAGCTTTCTTAAAAAAAAAATGTGTCTAGGACTGTGTCCATAAGAATAACCTTTCTCAAAAAGTCATAAACCATTCATGTTTTACTATACATCTATTAATACGTAAATTATAATAATAAATTTGTATATGCCTATAATCCTAGCTGCACTTATTAATAAGTGTATTAAATACTATAGAGAGAACGTTTACCTCTGAGGAATGCTTATCTTCCTGCCATTCTCAGTGCTAAAGCTCAACCTAGAATGTCTGTGTTGGTACATAAAATTAAGTCAGAATTCATTTAAATAGAGAATAATCAGTTCTTTGGCCACTTTTTAGTTTATTTGATTTCATTTTTTCCACTCTAACTCAAATTGTACCTCTGCCTATCCTAAATACCAAAGGGGCAGTTCTACTTCAGTATTTGTAGGGGTTCTATGAAATGGAGATTTTGATGCATGCAAGTATTCCTGAATGTCAGCATCTGAGTATTAGTTTATATATGTCTGTATTTAATAGTGTGTGCATGTGTCACTGTGGGGTTTTGTAAGAATGTTTTTGCCTATCAGAGTTGCACTGGATGGTAAGATGAGTGGCATATAAATTTAATTAAATATACATATTTTTATTTTTTTTATTTCTGGACAGTTACAAATACTGACCCATTATCATGGAATTAGCACAATATGTATTATAAACAAGAGAACAGATTATTTACAAAGCAAAAGCAAGTCTCCATAGCTGATGTTGTGTCTGTAAAATTTTATTTATTTTTAGCTAACCAAGTGCTCTCAGATCATTCTATCTTCTAATTAATGCTTTGGACACCATTGTTCTAAATTAATACATAATTAAGCAATACTGTTCTATTTTGTACAGTAATCCTCAGCTTACAATTATCCTGACATACATCACTTCTCCTCCATGTCAAAAATCTCCTCTGCAAAGTAGTTATATTGACAAATGGAATTAAATCTGACAGCTGAGAGAATGCCCATTTTACAGACTGAAAGGATTTTTTTTTCTATTTTCTCAGCAATACTGACTCATTTACTTCATCAGTTTAACACTTCAAACATTAACAGTGCCCTGTAAAATAAGAAGGCCCCTTAGATTAAAAGAAAAAGAAACTGTGCCTTGTAAAATATTATGTTTAAAAAAACAAGCCACTTTGCATATGGTATTCTTCACACAAAAAGTTAAAAAGCCATCTGAAATAAAAGAAAGTCCTGAAAGCAAATGTGCCTTTTAGACTCTTTTATTGGACCACCATGCAAAGCTAAGTGAAGGTGACTTTGATTGAGCAGCAGCAGCAGCAGTGGCCGTCTTCCCAGCACCGCCTCTCTTAGCCCCTCCTTACTTTAACGGAGAGAACACAATCACCAGAGGTGTTTCCGAGTCAATTTCCATGGATACAATTTAAGCCTTACAATCATTTTGCAAGGATAAAATAGCATAAAGTGGAAGAAATATTTATCACTATTGTGGTTTGTCAATGATGTTTGCAACATTATTATTTAGTATAATTTAGCAAAATTATCCCTTCCGTTCAGAGAAAAGAGTCAGAGAGGCTCGGCGTAAATTTTCCAAATGCCACCACCATGCAGAGGCCAAGGCAGCTCAGCAGTGCTTGGAAAGTGAAAAATGAAGAAAACAACATGCAAGGGAGGATCTCACAAGCCATCATCACGTATTCAGAACTTCGATTTGGGCAATATACAGATTTACTAATGACTATAAATATACTCCTTGACTTCAATGGGAACAAAGTCATTTGGGGAAAAGCTTATTTTTCTCACACAAAAAAAAGTTCAAGTATACTCTGAACCAAAGTCTTTGTAGACAATAAAGCTTGTCAGAGAAACATAAACTCAAAAAGATATTTCAACAGAGTTGAATCAATGCTCCCAACGTTATTATTCATATTCAAAGCTTCTCTTACATAATCAGTATAAGAGGAGTATACACACACTAATCCTGTCAGCATTATGATTCTACTTTTTATTAACTTACAGAGAATATTTACAAGCATTTTGCTATAAAGACTGGAATATTCAAAATCAAGGATAAATAAATAAGAAAGTTCAAATGAAAATAATTCTATTATGATCGTAGAGCAGCATAATAAGAAAGATAAGGTTGTGTCATTTTGTTTACACAATTTTAAAAAGAAGGAATATTTATGAATTTCATGCAAAATCAGCAAGATCACCAAAAAAGAGTAATTTAACAAACTGTGATTTCCTTTTATGATTAAGACAATGCCCTAACCCTAACCCTAACCCTAATCTTTTCCTATCTCAGATCACAAAAAAACAAAAAAAAATTGTTCACAAAAAATATGATTTTTAAAATACTTTTTTATGTATGTTATGTTCACTTTATTTATCAAGAAAACATTTAAGCAACAATACATAATCTAAATATATCTAACATATTAAAGAAAGAAGTACTGTGGCATCGAAGCAATTCTTTTTCAAAAGAAGATTTGAGAATTTGTCTGGGAATTTCTGCACCTTCTTCTGGTCATGCACATGCAACGTGTAGTTAGTACAACAAAATAAAACCAGTGGGAGAAAAGTTGTGGTTAGGGCTCATTTACTGACCATGCTCAGATTCACTCAGTTCTAGAAGTAAATTCTGTATTTCATGCTTCCATTGTTTTCCAATAATGCCTCTCTTCTTTGGACACTGTGAACTTTCTGATTGCACATGATGGATTCAGATGCAATAAACAAAGAATCCTAATTCTAATGCTAATTCTAAAGGGTTTGTTTGCTTGTTGTTTTGCTGTCAGCTTGTCAGGCGCAGGAAATCAGGAGCCAAGGCGGTTCAAATGAATACAGGTTTAATGCATGTTTTCTACAAGACTCTGAACTACTAATAGTCCAAGCAAATTGGCAGTAGATAAGAGTCAACGGAATTCAAGGTGGGCTGGACTTAGATCTCTTGTGGCTGCGAAGGGACTCGAGATTGATGATGACGTGCTTGACCCCTCCCTCGGGCTCAGCTTGGTCATCTCCTATATAGCTTTCCTTGGAGTAACTGTGAAGCATGTACAGCACATAATTTGCAAATGTTAATAAAGGCTTAAAATATCAGCAGTGCCAAAAAGACTACACTAAAGACAGAAGAGAAGCACTACAGAAATAAATCAGGGAGATATGCAGATTAGCAAAGTATAAATTTATAATTATAACTTAGAATGCATTGCTATCTGAATACGTCTGCACCAGGACCAAGGGGACAGTAGATTAAGCACCGAATAAAATGAGAATCTCTTAGTAAAGAGTTAATATGAAGAATACCACTATACAGGGCTATTAAGATTTTTTTCTCTCTCTCTTCAAGTTTATACTATGCTACCTTGAGACCCAATCTTATAAATAGCACAATGGCAATTTAATTCCACTTCAGTCCACTGAGCAGGTGATTAAACATTTCAATGAACTGGAAGTTTGGTGTATAAAATAGTTAAGAGAAATGTTGCCCCTTCCCTTCTAATACTAAATTATAGTTAAATCATTGTATATGCTGTAAAGCATTCCAGGGCATCAATAGTTTTATTTGACACTTTTTTTATTGTGTGTGTGTGTATGTGTGTGTGTATATATATATGTATATATATATATATATGGTACAAATAAAATACGAACACCAGGAGAGTATAAATATAAAAATATACTTTACTAAAAGCTGCCAAGCTTTATACTCTCCTGGTGTTCGTATTTTATTTATACCATAGACATGCCCAGGAGTTGTATTTTTATGCAAATTTTCCAGCATATATATATGTACATACATACATACATTTAGCATACTTAACATGCTCACTAAAAGGGTGTTCCAGGATGTAATAGAATGAGTAGATGACCTTGGAGGATGAGAGAAAGAGATTGCCTATGGAACTATCAGACAAGAGGAGTTTAACTGTCTGAGGAAGAAACTTAGGAAGACCTGCCCTAATTGATCAGATGGTTAAAAGTAGCAGCGGAAAGTCTGTACATTCAGACTTACAAGATTCTGTTAAGATAGTCTTAAAATAAAGTAGATTTTGCTCATCTAGTCAGATTTCCTGTCTGGTTTACCCAGAAGGACTGACATCCATCTTGAAATCTGAAGGTACAAAATTCCTGCCTTAGGGTCTTTCCTACGTTTTTTTTTTTTCCTCTTGAGCATTAAACGACTGTGGTCTCCTCCCTCTCTTGTGTGATTGTTCTCTAAGCAGTATCTTTCCCTCATCCCACAAGATCATCCACATGTTCCAATAAAAGTGATCCCAAAGTTATCACATTATTTACCATGCTAAGCTAGATATTATACAGATAGTCAAAGTCCAAAATGTTAGAATAAATAATTCTAGCCCTAAAACTAGGCATAAAGGGATATGTGCAGAAAGAAAGAAATAGAAGGAAGTATACCTGTGGTCAATGGAACATACTCTAAAGCAAAAGTGAATTCTGCTTGGGAAGAAAGAGCCAGGATCTTCCCCAAGAAATGGCTTTACTGACTTATGCCACCTTATCTCTGTCCTACCCTCTTTTGTGGCTGGTGTCAAGTTGGGCTCCGGTGAGCCATGCTCAGGGGTCCTGAGCATCAGTACGTCCCACTCTTGCTTGCGTTTGATCCCTAGGTCTGTGGAGCCGTGCAGGATCGGAGATCCAGGAATGCTCATGTCAGCATCATTTGAGAAGTCAAAGCCATCTGGGATTCAACATATAATATTTTAGTGTCTTTCTACTCTTTCCCTAATCATTACAACCCAGGAAGGGAAATGAAGGTGTACCTTGAGCCCACAAAACCACACCTGCACTTCTCTCAAAGAAAGTTGAACAGCATCATAAAAATAAATGGATATGATGTACCACGTGCAAGAAGACATTAAATGCAACACTTCTGCAGTAAGGCTGTACATGATGAAGGATTTGTAAAAATGGGATTAACTGTTTTTATTATCAAGAATTCAGAATGAAAACAAAAAGCAGAATCAGCAAGTAGTGTACATAAATAAATATCTAACAAGGAATTTAACGTTTAATAAAAGTTCAAATTTTATGTTTTTGCAGTCTACTATATATTTACCAATATAATTGATAAAAAATAATCAAACCATACAAAGGACAAACTCTTCTAACAGAAATTGGTATGTTTCCAATTTAACATTTGTTTTTCTTTTTGCTGGCAAGAGTGACTTTAAAAGATTTGAAGTTGTTGCCTATGGAAACTAAAAGGTTCTTAAATTATCCCTCACACAAAATATTTGAGATTTATCATTAGGTTTGCAGAGCACAGTTCCTGAAAACATTAGTAAGAATTAATATTATAATACCAGTTACCATTTTATCAATGAAAAAACAAAGATAACATTTTCAATATTGTCTAGCTTCTGTTGCTAGTTTGGAATTTTACACATACCTCTATACCATTATTTTTTAAAAAAACAGCAACACACATCCCCAGGCCAGATATAGATTGTACACTGTGAAATAGTTTGAAAAAGAACAAAAATTCTAAATTTTTAGAGATACTATCTAGCTGGATTTGCTCAGGAATTGTAAATACCGACACACCATCAAAATAATGACCTTCTCAACAATTTTTTAAAAAGCAGAAAGATCCAACCCCCTGAAAGTAGAAAGTAATTACAAAAATTTTAAAGTACCATTCAATTTCCATACCATCATATACCACTTCAATCACTTAAGCTTTTCTAGATTTCCCAAAACATAAAATAGGAAGAATTCTTACTTCATTATAGTGTGCAGTCATGATTCCATATTTGTACATATACATAGGTAATTATTTTCTGAATGTCTATTTACCTGAAATTAATGATCAAACTCAGGCTTAGAAGCTAATATTTGCCAGTGGAGAGGAATGATACCATATTACCATCTTCACTTTGCATTATAAATTACCTTCTCTTCTCCAGCGATGTCGGCGGATTGAAGCTGTTGTAATAGCTGTCCGAGAAATTCTTGGCACTGTTGGAGTAACCTCTACTTTCAAAACCTTCTGTCCTCCTTGTGATGCATCAGGAGCATCAAAAGGTAATGAATTCTTCATTGCATTTGCAACCTATTACAACAGTAAAATGCTGTGTAAGTGTCAGGAACATAAGATCAGGTCCATACGTGAAGGTCCAATTAAACTGATTTATTGCTGCTCCTGCCTATGCACAGGAATATTTTCAGCTAATGGTTAGCACCTACTAGGAGTTAGACCTACAGAGCCGAAGTGGCGCAGCAGTTAGAGTGCAGTACTGCAGGCCACTTTAGCTGACTGTGTTTAGCAGGTCAGCGGTTCAAATCTCACCGGCTCAAGGTTGACTCGGCCTTCCATCCTTCCGGGGTAGGTAAAATGAGGACCCAGATTGTTGGGGGTAATGTAAATATATATATACATTGCTTACTGGTGTTTACCGCTTAGAGAGTGCTTGCACTTAAAGCGGTATATAAGTCTCATAAATAAATAAATAAATAGAAAAGGTCAACAGAATTCAAAGGGGTTGGACTTAGCTCCCTGTACAGATTCTAGGCTGAACCTTTTTTGAACTCCATCCCCAGGTTTTGCTACTCTTTTTGCTACAATAGGTTGGCAATCAGAAAGAAATTAAAGAAGGACTAGAGAAAAAAACAGTGATAACCAAATTTTAGGATTTATGTTAAACAACTACTATCTTTGTAATTATTTCAACATAAATCTTTGCATTTTTTAAGTTTTGCAGTTCCATATCAGGATATGTACTCCCTTCTATCTTCTGTCAAATTTTACCTATGGAGTTGACAAATTATGTACCATTTTAATTTTGCTATAACATATTTAACTAATCTTTGTGCTACTGTGAAACTCTAGATGAAGATATGAAGCCACTATCAAAGTCTCCTTGGATTGTACTTTCAGTGTTATAACTGCCGAAAATCAACAGTATAGTTTTCTCACTATTTGGGAAAAATCTTACTGTGCCACAACTCAAGAATTAGACATGGAGACTTCCCCAGACTTCCTCTACATGCACCCTTCTTGCTGTCAATCATGATTTGTTAACCTCGCAACAGGATATTATTTTCTTTACTCTCCCATGCCCATTGGTCAAATCAAATGAGTAGAAAAATCTGAAGTATGCTTTGTCTAGAGATGCTAACTCAAAAAACAATTTTTGTACCAGTTCTAGCACAAATGCTCACAATTTTTTTTTTCTTTTGATTGATTAAAAGCACATCTCATAGCCATGCTAGGTGGTAATTCTCTGAGCTGCAATGCTGTTTCCAGGGACATTAAATGGGAAAGGCTTCTTTATAGAATCTGTCTAAGCAAACCAACCACCCTTTGTCCATCATAATAAACTATGTAGGGTTCAATAAAAATGAAAGGGAATGCTTTTGATTTTCTGGGAGCCATATGGGGGAAGTGGGAACTTCTCAGCTCCAGAGCATGCATACAACCTTAAAACCATGTAGAATTCTTTTCAGTCATATATGCGGTTTAAAATATATGAAATTTGGTTTACTAAAAAAAATAATAATCCAGAAAGCTGAAGGTCACTGACAGACATCCTGTTTTACGACTAAGGCTAGGATATAGACTGAATTATAAGGAGGCAAGCACCTTACTTTTCTTTTTTAATAAAAAGGAGACCAAGAAAGCGAAACATTTAAAGTAAAAATTCAGAATAGAATGGAGAGAAGTACATTTTGTAAAAAGATGGATTTTTTATTATTAATAATATTAATATACTTAGTATATTATTACAATATGAGCAAATCAAAAAAGACTTTCCATCAGTTTAGTGTTTGCCTCAGCTTTTTCAATTTTGGTCAAAAATGAAAGCTGAATTCAAATAAATTCAATCTACCTTTAGGCTTTTTAAATATATTACAGGAAGCTTATCAGCAGAATTTATTTTTTTATTAAAAATCGATTTTGTAGTGCATTTATTTATTTACTAAAGGAACATTTAATAACAAAATAAGCATTCAAATTGTTGTCTTCGGAAGTATATTATAATCTAGCCAGCAATTCATCAAGCAAGCATTTAACTTAATCTAAAGGAAAGATTTAAAAAAATCCAATCTCATTTGGTAAGGTAATTCCCTTGCAAAAAAGTTAACATTTAATTAAATCTGGGCAAAGCACACACACATTTTCTTCCAAATTGTATAAAAGTCCATATCCCTATGTTTTCTTTTTGTAAAGTATGTTCAGAACTTAGCTTCTGTTTTTTATCTTACAAAGATCAGTTCTTAGTAATTTCAAGACCAATTACTCTACCCACCACCATTCTAGAAGAGAAAGCTACAGTATATTGAGGGTTCATAGAGAGGATGGTTACTGGGGCAATGTGGCTTCCCAGGAGAAGACTTTAGCCCTTTCAGTGTCTCTTTAAACAGGCAGAAACCAATCTGGGCATGATTGTAAGTAAAGAAAAACAAATGACATAGGAAAATGGACATTTTCTTTTTCCAAGATCTTGTTTATGTATTTAGCAAAAGGCCAGTGCAATCGACCTACGTTCATAAAAGCTGGAGGGGAAAAGGAAGATTATGCCACTTCTTGAAATAATTATCATGCTGTTCAAGTTCAGAGAGAGGTCCAATTCAAGTTGTACCATAATTACTAGACTGTTAGCATCTAAACGTATGCTTGTCAAGTAATTCTGTAAGTCTTCCCAACAGATATGCAAAATGCAGATAAACAAGCATTCAGGTAGTCCTCAACTTACAACCACAGTTCAGCCCATGATTTCTGCTGCTAAGCGAGACAGTTGTTAAGTGAGTTCTGCCCCATTTAACAACTGAGACAGTTGTTAAGTGAATCACTGCAGCTGTTAAGTTAGCAACACAGTTGTTAAGCGAATTGGCTTCCTCACTGACTTTGCTTGTCAGAAGGTCGCAAAAGGAGATCACGTGACCCTGGGACACTGCAACCATCATAAACATGACCCAGTTGCTAAGAATCCGAATTTTGATCACGTGACCATGAGGATGCTGCAATGACTGTAAGTGTGAAAAACAGTCATAAGTCACTTTTTTCAGTGCCACTGACTTCAAACCATCCTAAACGAATCGTTGTAAGTTCAGGATTACTGTATACATGAACAATACATAAGTGCACATCTGCATGGTTCACAAAAGAGGACTTTCAAAAAGCACACTGCAAGTAGCAGTCAAACAATGGTTGCAAGTAATGTAGCTCTAATTATTCCTCTTTTTTAACCAATATTCTGCTAACCTTTGCCTTATAAGAGAGTGAGGAACTCTGGATTATAGCCAAATGGATGAAATCAAAGTTTACAATTTATCATGACATTTTGTTACAATGGTGCACAAAGTATTCTGCTGAAGGTTCCTTTGGAAGATTTCAGAATATTACATAAGTCATTCAGAGTTCACTATTAATATTACAATTATATGCACAATTTAAACCTCATGAACAGATTACAGCCTATCCCCTTACCAGCAGTGGCTGAGAGTAGAGTTCAAGCTGAGCTCGATATATTATATCATCCAGCGTTTCCTGACCAAGTTCCCATTGTCCATTGTAGCTATATATGGATGCAAAGGAAATAACACAGTGCATTATTTTTATGATTATGAGCTTTCCCCCTATCAGTTAACTTCCAAATAGACCCTTTTCTGCTGCTTTGATTTTGCTAGTGCTAGCTGTAAGATCTTATGTAAAAAGCTGACTCCTGGGTACAATTCTTCCTTGCTCTATCTGTACATTTCAGTCAGAATAATTTCATTACTAACATTTTTGACATAGGAAACAAAGGGATGTTAATAATAACTGAGCCACTTCACAAGTTCACCCATCCCCTGGGATCCCCAGTTCGGTAGGCATAACCAGGTCTTAAAGGACTTCAAAAGTTCAGAAATGATGTGGCCAACGTCACCTCAGGGGGAGAATATTCCACAACATAAGCACACAACAAAAAAGGCCCAATGCCTAGGGCCTACCAAATGCAGCTCCCTAGATGACGAAACCCATAACATGCCATGGTAGCACAGCAGTTAGAATGCAGTACTGTAGGTGAATTCTGCTGACTGCCGACTGCCAGAAGTTCAGCAGTTCAAGTCTCACTGGCTCAAGGTTGACTTGGCCTTCCATCTTTCCGAGGTCGGTAAAATGGGACCCAGATTGTTGGGGTCGACATGCTGACTCTGTAAACCGCTTAGAGAGGGCTGTAAAGCATTGTGAAGCGGTATGTAAGTCTAAGTGCTATTGCAATCCCACAAATACCCATACCATGAAAGCTTTAAAGATTAACATGAGCATCTTGAATTGGGCCTAGAAATAAACTTGTAACTAATGTAGCTTGTGAAGCAGAGATATAATGTGTGTTCGCTGCATTTTGCACCAGCCGAAGTTTCTGGATATTCTTCAAGGGCAATCTTATGTACAGCGCATTACAGTAGTTCAACAGTGAGGTGACCAAGGCGGGAGTGACCATGAGTAAGACCCCTCAATCTAGGAAAGGTGCAACTTATAATAATCAAGTAGAAGTTTTCCAGAGTTAAACAACTTCATAACAAATGTAAGTTACCATTTTTCACAGCAAAACATAGCACAAATATTATAATTATTATCATCATTTTAGCCACTGTCTATCCATTGCAGGACGAAGGCCTTATCTGCATGTTTCCAACCTATACAGTCCTGAGCTATCTTTTGCCATTATAATAAGAAAGAAAAAAAATGAAAAAAAGGTGTTAAGTACTCTGCTAGAGGGTTACTCAGGTGGTTCCTTTCCATTCACTGCTGTTTTTTAAACTAGACAAATGTATGCACACTCACTTGCATTTAGACCAATGAAATATTTTCAAAAGACAGCTAACTAATAAGGCAGAAAAATTGCCTGATAGAACTCTGCTGTCCACTGTTATTACTTTAATAAAAAATTATGTTACATTTTATTCCTGTAAAAATATGAATAATTTGCTCCAAAACAAAGAACTGTTCCTTATCCAAAGTTTAGATACATACACAGCATAATAGATTCCAGTGAGTAACTGAACCATGAAGTCAGGATCCAGTACCACTCTGCAGCCATCTTCCTTCCAGCATTTTTCATTTTGTCGTGGAAATCCACTCACACAGAGCCTGAAAAACATAAAAGCAGTTCTAAAAATTAAATCTTTATCTTTTGAGTAAGTACATTTTCGTATTTTAAATGTTGTATACAAAATTCTAAGCTACAAACCAAGATATTTCAATTATAATATTCATTTTTAGTTTATGTATGTGTTTTTATAGTCCTGGATGGTATATATTATTGTGAGAAAATTACTCACTTAAATTAGAAATCAAAGTATTTGAAGATAGATGTAACAAAATATGGGTAGTCCTTGTTTAGCAACCATTCATTGTTGGATGGTGACTTACAACAGTCCTCACACTGACAACCAATGCAGCCTTCCCACAGTCAGGTGATCAAAATTTGGGTGTTTGGCAAGTGGCAGGTATTTATGATGGCTACAGGGTCACATAATTGCTTTTTGCAATCTTTCCAGCCAGCTTCTGATAAGCAAAGTCAATGCGAAAAGCCGAATTCACTTAATGATTGCATGATTCACTTAATAACTGCAGTAATTTGCTTAACAACTGTGGCAAAAAGTTCATAAAATTGAGCACAATTCAATAACAACCACCTTGTTTAACAACAGAAATTCTGGTCACAATTACAGTTGTTAATATATTTAATTTTGTAATATCTACATAAACACTTAATTAAGACATGCCACTAAAATAATCCTATCTCTATATAAAACCACAATGAAAGATGGTTACAATATCAGGGGATGACATAGTAGAAAGTGACTATTATCATTCACAATATTTCCTACTTTACGAAATTTTGCCTGAAAACATCCTACCATCACAAACTTGATTTTTCTAGAAGCTGCCAATCTATTCCCACTGAAATCTCTCAGCAATTATTTCTGCAGTTCAGTATCAATCGCAATCAAATTACATCTAATCACAATTATGAAAAGTATCCAATTAACAATCTTCAATGTCCACCTAACATTTACCTGCAGCAAGAAAAAAACTGAAATCTAGCCAAAGCCTAAGTCACAAATATCCTTTTAACAATAAACAAATTAAAATTTGGCCACCAAAAGGATTCTAAAGGGAGAAAAGCTGTAAGAGCGCACACTTTAGACTCAAATACCAATTTTCCTCTGAAATAATAATAACTTTATTACGGTCATAGACCAGCAATAGACGTCACTTTTTACAATATATTAAAAAATACTACTGACATTAATAGTAAATAATAACATCCCTATTAAGAAAATACATGTTCTCAAAATGTTAGGGTCATTCCCTAGTTTACGTGAGTGGAAAGCCGTTAAGTGTGTGAGTAAATATAATGTTCCAAAAATTATTAGAGATATCTCCAAAAATTGGCACAAGTTGATGGCTATAAATCTGTAACCAATTTTTTTCTTGTGGACATTGTCGCAACACAGTATTTTGCCACTGCATGTGTGATATAAGGGTTTGAGTCTTGGAGGAGAAAGCCTACATAAAAATTGTCTGCCCTCCCTGGCAATCTCTCTAATAAGGGGAGAATATATGCTGTCCTATAAACTTGGTATAACTCACAGTAGAATAAAACATGTGAGATGTCTTTGACTTCTCCTTTAACATATATACATACCCGTTCTACTATTGTTCTCTTATACCTGCCCTGGAGGAGTGCTGAGGGAAGAATGTTAAATCTCGCTCTGAGGAAAGCTATTCTTTGTTTTGGGAAGGTCAGATCATTCAGATATCTTGCTGATTCCCACACACCCTGTTTGATTCTATCCCTACTGTGGCGAGGCAACACCTATTTAGTTCTTCTTGGAACTCCATGTCCTTTATTCTATTGGATACTACTTACTTTGCTTGGTCAAAGCCTAGGGACATTAAGAATACCGAAGAGAGCCCATAAGAGCCCAGTTTATGATCAATCGCCTGCTTCCAGGGGGAAGGGAAGTTGTCAGTCAGCACTAACAGACATAGTCCCTCTGAAAAAAAATGCATTTTAAGCCAGTGAATGATCATCATCTTCCAGGCTCTTACCTGAATTTGGAGCATGGCTGTCTCAATTCTTAATTGGGCATTTGGGGTTCCTTTGGGTGCAGCTAATTTGGTTTGTATGGTTTCAAGCAAGTTTTTCTTTGCAAGGATTCCTGTTTGTGCCCCATATAGAATTTGCGCCAATGTTTTGGCCTCAAAAAGATTTAAGGCAGCAGGTACTAATTGACCTCCGCCTGTGTAAAAATAATGTTTAATTGCATTTAAGGACCTATTGTTGCTTGCAATGTATGAGCCAGGTGTGCCTTCCATGTCCCTTGCAAGTGGAAAACCACCCCAAGGTATCTAAATGTTCTAACCTGTTCCAAACTATGTCCTTCTATTTTCCAGGAGTATTGACTGGATCTTTTAACAAAAACTAAATTTTTTGATTTATCAAAGTTAAGGACCAACTTGTTCTGTCTGCAGTAGCCAAGTGTTGTCCTAATTGCTCTCTTCAATCCTACAGGAGTTTGTGAAATAATGACCGCATCGTCGGCATATAGAAGCATCGGGATTTTGCAATGTGCTAGGTTGGGCGGATGCAGATCAGGGTTCTGTAAGAGATCGATCAGGGGGTTGATATAAAAGGGAGGGGGACAGGATGCAACCCTGCCGTACCCCTTTTTATACCCTTACTGAGCCGGTTAAAGTCCTTTGAGGATTATACCTCACTTTCAAGGTGGAATTGGCGTATAATTTTTGTATGAGGAAAAGGAGGCATTTATTGATAGTAGTGCCTTTTAATTTCTCCCATAGGGTGTTCCTAGATATTGAGTCGAAGGCCTGCTTAAAATCAAGGAAGAGGATAAAATCACAAAAAGAGAGGATTTTTTTAATATGTGTATTTTTGTACTAGATGGTGAGGTACCAAGATATCATCCACCGTTGATCTTCCTTCTCTAAAACCGGCTTGTTCATCTTTAATTATTCCCCCCCCCCAAAAAAAATTAGCCAATCCTGAAGTTTATAGTTTAGGTGTTTGGTATACATTTTACTAATAACACTCAGAAGACGAATGGGTCTATAATTGCCTGGGTCATTTCTACCTTTTTTATAGATTGGTATGATAATGGCTAATCCCCAGTCTCTTGGCATATGGCCCTTTCTATCTATAAATGTAAACAGAGATGTTAAAAGTGGAGCCCACCAATTGGGATTATTTTTTATTATTTCTGGCAGGACATTGTCAGCATCAGGTGCCTTATTAGCCTTGAGGGCTCCAATCAATCAGGATATCTCGCCTGGTGTAACAAGGGGCCAATAACGGGTTTGGTCCAAATTAATTTGGCTCTCATTAGTTACATAGTCGGGGTCTGCATATAGCTCTCTAAAATATTCTTCCCAGGCATGGATTGGTACCTGTTTAGTTGGAGGTAGGGGGGATTTCCCCAACCCTCTGGTGATGTGCCAAAAAAGGGATGTATTTTTTGTCCTGACTGATGCAGTTAGTCTATTCCAAGACTCCTTCAGAGCCGCCCTTTTCTTTTCTTTTAGAAGAGTCTTATATTGTGCCTTCAACTGCTTTAAGCAGTGAGTGTAATCCTCAGAAGGGGCATTTTTACTTTTTCTGTATTCCTTGTTATATGTTTTTTTTTTAGTTGCACGCAATCCCTGTCAAACCATTTTTTATTCTTTAAAACCGGCTTTTTGGGGTGAGCTAGTATTGTGTTAGTGAGAACCGATTTCAAATTTAAAATTAAACTTTCAAACCCCTCTAAGTATGATCCTTCAAACTTATTCCTTAATAGAGATGTATGTAGTTCTATGGTTTCAGGGGCTAACCTCCATTTAGTAACTTCCTTTGCATTTTTCTCTGTCCATTTAATTTTAATCTGGGTATTTTGGTTCTCTAACCTGGGTAGATAGGTTGAGCCAGCCCTTAGCAGTTTCTGTGTAATGTAAAAGTAAGGATTAGTGGATTGTGATCGCTTTCCAGTCGCGAATCTACCTCCATCTTCTGCAGGAACTTCAGGAGGTCGTATGATATTATCCAATAATCAACTGTGGATGTTCTTCCTGCTCCCCGATACGTATAGTCTGCTGGGTAGTCTTCCCATGTGGAACCATTAAGGATACAAAGGTCCAAGCGTAAGTCATCTGTCTTACACACAGACCTGTCCGATTTGCCTTGGAGTCTTTAAATACCAATTTTCCTCTGAAAAGGATTTTCAGCACCATGGCGCTAAAGTGTCTTTTTCCTCTAAGGATATTCCACCTGTAACCCAAGCTTATCATTGGATTTTTAGAATGGATTCATTAAAGGCATGGATCCAGTATATGCTTGGCACAAATATTGCAGAACTAGAAAATAGTTGTTGATTCATCTTTGTGGGAAAAGACATATAAAAAGTGAAATGAAACAGGAAATAAACTAATGACAATCAAGAGTGTATAGGCTCTTTTCATATTGCTTCTGTTTTTGTCATAAATTTATCTAGATCCTTTAAAGCAATGGTCCCCAACCTTTTTGGCTACACGGACCAGCGGCGGGGGAGGAGATGGTTTTGTGCACGCAACAAAATCTAACACATGTGCAAATAAAGCTCTGCATGTTCGCCCACTGCTTGAGCAGCCCGGTTCCCAACAGGTCATAGACCAGTAACGGTCCACAGCTTGAGGGTTGGGAACCCCTGCATTAGAGGTTGGCTTAGAAAGTAAATATTAGCTATTTCTATTGCTAACCAGGTTTTTAAAAAAAAGGATGCTGTTTTGGATAATCTTCATTAAAACTGAGTTTTCCAAATGGGACATGGACTTTTCTCGTTTATCTTAATTCATCTTAGCATCACACAGAAAACAGCAACAATAAAAGGGATATGGAACAACATATATGGTTCAATCCCCATAAGGGAAGTTGGTTCAATCCTTCCCTAATGGAAGGTTAACTGATGAAACCTGCATCTTGATGTTGCAGTACAAACACTATCTTATACATATGTATCTGCACTGTTGTGGCACTAATACAAAAGGACACAGCTTGCATCATGATCATGATCCATGTTTTGTTATTTGGCATCATGTTTTGAAAAGTATGTTTTATAAGTTACCCTCCACTACTACATCTCAATGACATCCATAAAACCCAGCTCCATTCCATAAAACCCAGCTCCATTCCACACACAGGAGAAGCCATGATCCTTTTTCTTCCTACAGTAAATTAGGAAAATTTAATTTTTCTTTATCTAATTTAATGGAGACAATGTGAAGAATCTAAGTTTCTACATCTGTAATAAAGCAAATCACTACATTTACATATGCAAATAAAAAAAGCAGGGACAAATTATGGCAAATAATCAATATTCAAATATTGTCTCACGGGTGTATAAAACCTTTTTTCTTTTCATAACATTTAAAAAAACCCAATGAAAAACATTCCCCTCAACCACACCAAGTGCATCATTCTTACCTAGAACCCATCTTGCAAAGCGACTGATAGGAAGAGGCAGGCATATAGACAATAGCAGAATTATAGCACAGCATAAGAAAGCTCAGCACTTCAAACCTAGAGAGACAAAATGAAACAGATTGAAATAGTTAATATTCTATTGCAAAACCATTCTTACTGACGGGTTTAATAAAGTAACAAAGTAGTTCTCTTTTGAGTTCACTTCATTTGGATTTGATACAGTAGTCTTGGAAGATACAACAGAACAATTAAATATCCAACCACAAAAATATTTTCAACCGAGGAAGGCAGCAGGATGGAATTGGAGCTCTACTGAGAGTCACAGTAGACTCAGCCTTGGAAGACTGGCAAGGTGTCTGCTCCAGATGTGCCAAATAAATGTTATCACTGGGAACTGGCAAACAAACATCTGAGGCTCTGCTGGCACTCATCAGGAACAGCTGTGTAATGATTAGAAAATGAGGATTCCAAGTTACATAAGAGTGATTGCTAGTTAGCAAACCTCTATTGGGAGCAACAAATCCAACCTGGGCTCCTTGTGCTTATGCCTCAAAAGTCTTGCATTCTGAAATGCTAATATTTTGACCTCAGACCTTCCCTATGAACATAGCAGAGTGTGATTTGCTCACTATCTGGGAATTGGAATGATTGCAGGCAAGCTTCTGTGTGCTTGTGGACTTTGAAGGTAAGTGTGCCCCACATATGCGGACTGCCATGCTGCTAAATTTCCAATTTCATGAAGTAAACTACTGCAACTTAATCTCTATTGGTTTGCTTGGTCTAGAATAGGTGCCTATTAAAGATAAATCTTGACACTGCCTTATTCAGTCATATCAATCATGCTTGTCAAACCCCCCAAATCAGGATTATAACTAGTAACTGTCAGTCATTTAGTCTCTTAGGTATAGTTAGCAAACTGGATGTCATGGTTCCGAAGGAAGAAACTCTTCAAAGAACTTTGAGGCATTGTTTACATCAGATGTTCTTGCTTGACACTAGACACAAGTGGACTTCAAGTCCACAACCTGGACTTGAAGTTGCTGGACTGGTTGTTCCAGAAGTAGGCTTTGGCTGATAAACAATCAGGACATAGTTTAGGACAATCCACATTCAATCACTGTATACTGATGCAGCACTTAATGACAAAATAATGACTCAGCCAAGAGGGGCTCTATACACCGTCTTTCTTCATTTGATTCAATCTCTGGGCATAGACTTTGGGTGAACCTGACAGAGTTCTTCACTGATCAAAGATTACTGCTTCTGTTCATGAAATTACATGAAAACATTAATGCAAATCAGATGCACTTTGATTGTCTCTTTTTGTCAAAACAGAAGGAAGCACAGCTGTATATTTCACTGAATTTCTTATGCCCAAAATGGGCATAATTTAATCTCAGTTTGCCTATGCTGATGAAATAGCTATTCTCTCTACAACTCAAGTGATAAGTGCATGGCCCAGGTGGTATCTGGTGGAGAGGAAAGACTTACCATCACTTACTCTAAGACAAAATAAAAATATCTTGGATGACTTTCTCTCAGCTTGGAAGTAAAGCACTGAGGTAGACCAGAGAAAGCATAACCTCACAGGGTTTCCCAGCTAATTATTTTATTAACACAGAACCATAGAATTGAAAGGGACCTAAGATGGCATCAAGTCAATCCCTGTACATTGCAGGATTCACTGTATCATCCCTATATCATCCACCTCCGTTTGAAACCTCCAGTGAAGGAGAAGAAACCATTCCATTTTTTAACCTATTCCACTGACTTACAGCTTCTCACTCTCACGATGTCTAATCTGAATCTACATCGTTAAAGTTCCATGCCATTAATTGTAGTCTTATCTTCCAAAACAACTGAGAACAAGTCGAAACCCTGTACAATATTTGAATATTCAGATACCATTTTTCACACTTACAACCTTTGCAACATCACTGTGATCATGTGATCAAAATTCAGGCACTTGGCAACTGGTTCATATCTATGATGGTCAGTGTCCCAGGGTCATGTGATCACCTTTTGTGACCGCCTGACAAGCAAAGTCAATGAAGAAGCCAGATTAACTTATTAATCTTGCTACTAACTTAACAACTGCAGTAATTCACTTAATAACTGTGGCAAGGAAGGTTGTAAAATGGGGCAAACTCATTTAACAAATATCTTGCTGAACAACAGAAATGTTGGGCTCAACTGCCCTCGTAAGTCGAGGACTATCTGTATTTCAAAAGTGCCTATAAATTCAGGTTATTAAAGAGTTTGGAAGGCACCTGTTAGACTCTACCCAATAGACAAAGCAAATATTTCCTGCTCTATTCAACTATCTCATACTTCGAAGTCAAGAAACATTTTTCTTTTAAGATATTTGGACTGTTATCGGTCGCTTACCTGTTTTGTGCAGTGAATGTTTCTCTTTGAGGATGAAGGTCACTATAAACGACTCTGATGAGGTCATGCTGACACAGGGCTCCCTCAGTCAAAGCCATGGATCCAATTGTAGAGGGCTTAGGGATTATAAAATAGTGACAATATTATTTAGGCATAATTTCAAGACACCACAAATAAAGTCTAACAAGAAGGAAGGTCTAATTATTGTACACAGTTTAGAAAGTCCAATTTAATATCAGCTGACAGCTTTCTCTTAGAAACAACTGTTACACTCAACCTACTTTCTTATCAGAAGTCTAAGAATATGATTGTATTCTTACCTCATGGTAAATTGAAGGTTTTGATAAGGAAGGGATAGTAAAAGATAAAATTTTATTATTCCCATCTTTGTCAGCAATTTCCTATAGTAATATAAAAACATTTGGAAAGGTAAGTTAATATATATAATTATGTCATCTTAAAGCCAGCAAAATAAACATTCACAAAGTAAGAGAATAATCTTTTAATGGAAGATGAAGATTTTGTTTCAGCGACAGACCAGGCTACAATTTGTAGAGCAGTGGGCTTTCCACATCTTCATTGGCAAGACCCTTTTTGCCTTTGCTCAAAACCCTTGCAAACTCTGTGTTATTTCATTTATTCAAGAACTTTATTCTGTCTTTATATTTAAAAAAATAAATAAGGTAACTTACAGGAAAATTAACATGCAAATCACATGCAAAAATTGGTAAGTTAACAAACAGTTTCTTTGGAACCTCATCAGAACAACCAGTCTGGCAAGTCAGAAAAGAAAACTGTCCGTGAGATATCAAAAATGATCACAGAGAGACAAATAGGCCTTTCTGAAGAAGACATCATGCAAAGAAAGGCCTGGGATTTTCATGGGGTAATGCTCGAAGGAAGGTTCAGTTTTATTTTACTCCTGAAAAGTCTGAAGCCTAGCCTAATCATCTTCCTGTTTTGCTTAATGCTGAAAATCAACAAGAATTTATACTCTGTATTTTGTAGGCTGCTGTCAAATAGTGAGTATGTGATTTTAGTTATGCTGACTAGCCTACGGCTTGTCCACATTTTGAGCTGCATCAGTTCAGAAGGTCAGTGCATTTTCATTGTAGTCCTACTTACCAAGTTGTAAATTCCTAGAAGTAGGGCTTCGATGCAACCATTGCTCTGCCTATCTTTGCTGACAGTAAGACGCAAATAAACCCAGATGAGTTCTGGCAAGAACTGTAAGGTGAACCTTTTGAGACGAACCTCAGAACTACGATAAAGTTCAAAGAGTTGGTGGCAGACAGGTTCCAGAAACTGGAGGAGACAAATCATGATTGTTGTGGTTTATTCACTGATGTTGATCAATGTTAATAATGGCACGTTGCCAAAAGAATCATAGAGATGGAAATGATCATTTAGGACATCAAATTGAACCATCAGAAATCTAAATTAAAGCATCCCAACATAGAGAGCCATGTAGTTTTCTCCTGAGCATATCTAATGAAAGATGGTCTACCAACCATCTTAGTAAGTGATTCCACTGTTGAACTGCTCTTATACTGAGCTTGTTTTTGCCAAACTTTCACCTCAAACGAACTTTTATGAAGTCTTTCATTTGATGTCTTCAACTATGAAGTGACAGATTCTGACAACTACTGCAATACATTCTTTCAGGTATCTGAACTATTCTAATATATCCTATAACCTCATGTCTTGTCTTCTCAAAGCTAAACATAGCATTTCCCTCAATCTCACTTACAAGACTTAATTTCTGGTCCATTATCATCATCATCCCTTTTTCTGACCTCTTCCAGTATGCCTAAAAGTGTAGATAGGACTGATCATAGTATCAAAGCAAGATCTGGCCAATGGAACCATTGTTTTCAGTGCTTTTGAAACTATACTTCTATTGAAGCGGTCTAAAATTGTATTTTCCTTTCTTTTACAGCTATGCTACACTGTAGTCTCTGACTCTGTGATGCAATGTGCACACGGAGGATCAGTGAATAGGAGTTTTGGCAACATAGAGCTTTCCCAGGAAAAAGGGAGTAAATATCATTAAAGAGAGGACCAGATTAGAGACTGCATATTCCCAATTGGATGGGGAAGGAGGGGAGACTTTCAGGATAACCATACCTTAGAATCTCTCAGGATATATCTAGTAGGTTTAGCAGGTTATAGCTTTAGTTTGGCAAGACTCTGTCCATTAGATATACGTAATAAAGGACTGACTCGATTGGATTTCACTGTGTCATTTTTGGCTTTGGACCTGACAGACTCTGATTATACCTTTTATATAGTTTGCTTCTGCCAGTATAGTTTATCATTATCAACCCAGGTATCCCCATTGATTAAAGAACTCTGCATCTGTCTGTGTTAAATTTCAGTCTCTTCAGCTTACTTGTCTGAATCATCACAAGTAGTCTGAATTTTGTTTCTTGTACACTGTCAATGATTATATAATAAAAAAAACTAAACAAAAGTTCTTGTTTTCAGCTAACTCATCCAATTTTGTGTCATCAACCAACCCAATAAGCATTCTCTCCACCTCTTTAGTCAAGTTAAAAAATAAGAGTGTCAAACCCAGCAAACTTTGAGGAATCTCATTTAATATTTCCCACCTAGTTTGCTGAAGAAGTGTTGATCAACCTTTTTTGGATACACTTTTTGAACTAGTTATGTATGTTTTTGAGCTAGCTTACTGTTAATGCCATGTTTAACCTAAATTTAATTAGATTATTGATCTGAATGTTAAGGGATACTTTAATATATTATTATTAACTGGAATTAAGATATCCATATATTCCCACCATTTAGTAAAGAAGTTATCCAATAAAAATGAAGTGTTAATTTAATAGAACTTTTTGAAAAAAAATATCTGCTGACTTCCAATTAAAACTGCATTGTTTTCAAAGTATTTAGAGATATATTGCTTTATGATGTACTATAGAATATTCCTATAGTACATCATAAAGATGTACTATAACATCTTAACTAGACAACTAGTTAATGTCTGATTAACTAATTTGTAAGAACTGGAATCCTGAAATAGACAAAAAAATAGAAAATAGGGAGGGAAAAGTTCTCTTCCAGTTGTCTGGCACTTTATTGATCTGCCAGAATTTCTCAAAGACGATATACGATACTTAGCTGGAACACTACCAAGTTTCTTTTATACTCTGAGATGCAATTTATCCGACTCATTCAAAACAGATACAGTATTGTATTTCCTGATCATTTAGTTACCAGCCTCAAGATGCAATTGTATCCCTTCGTCCTACTCTTCACAATTGCCTAGTAGAACACATAGCCTACAGCAGTGATGGCAAACCTTTTAGAGACCGAGTGCCCCAAAACTGGCCCCGCTCCTGCTCCACCCCTGCTCCGCCCCCACCCCCGCCTGCCTGAAGGGCCACTCACCGCCTCCAGGACCCGCCACAGATCGCCCAGGCAGCCCAGCACTGCTATGGCAGCCACGCCCTCTGCCAGCACCAGGCATCAACTATGTGTGATGGGGCATGAGGGCAGAGTCTTGTCTACACTGCCTGGCTGCCATGTCCTTGGCTGCACTGCTCCACGTGGGCCACGCTTGGGGGCGACTCTCCTTCAGGGGGGCTGCTGGTGAGGGGGTCACGGGGGAAGGCGAGGCTGGGGCAACGGCATGTGTGCCCACAGAGTGGACTCCGAGTGCCACCTCTGGCACCCTTGTCATAGGTTCGTCATCCCTGGCCTACAGTTTTGTCAGAAAAGATTTTGACCCTTTATTACTTCTTAACATTTTGTATTTTATCAAATAAATTGTTCATTAAATTGTTTTTACCAGGTTATTTTATAAAATCACTTTAAAAAGCCTGATAAAAAAGGAAATAGACTGAAAACCATTTTTTCTAATACATCTATTTTTATTTCTGACTGTACTTACATTGTGTTTCTTTCTTCCAACCTTATAGAGATTCTAGCAGATTACAACACACACATTTAATTTCTTAAGAAATACAATAAAACAGAACAATACAACACTAAGTTCATTTTAAAAACTAAACGGGATTTTAAAAGTCTGCTTTCAAAGTCGCATGTTCAAAAGTGTTTTAACATAGAAGTCGGGTCAACCATGCAACCAAAAAGCAATGGAGCAAAGAGCAGATTGGCATAAGACTGCTGTAGAAAAGTTTAACTTCTTAGAGTAAAGGATTCCTATGAGCAACACATGAACTCTTAAGAACTTGGCTCATGTAATTTTATAATTTATATTCCTACTCCAGGCAGCTTGGGTACTCCATCTCTTCTATTTCTCACAGGAAGATAATGCTTTATGAAAGGAGACAGGCCAATGCGCCAATAGGATATCTGGGATGCTAATGACCCAGTGATGCCCACCGGGAAAAAATCCAGAAAGAAACAGCCTTGGAAATAGAACAGCAAGAAGAGGCTAGACAATCATTGGCAGATTGCCTTGGACACTTCATATAGATGGTTAAGTCTGCTAGGAGCAAAAGCAGAGCCCCAGGACCTGAATCCTGCACATGGCCTGGTCCGGGACCAGAAGCTCAATCGGGACTACATGCATCCAGGCAGCACAGGAATGAGACCTCCTGCTTCCCAAGTTGTACCACAACACCCAAGAGGTCATCCTTGACTCTTTGAGAATCCTTGACCAAGAGAATTACACTTTATTTTTCCAAGCATCAGAAAAACATGATTAGGAAGGGGAAGTTGCATTTTGCCTTTAAAAACAGCCCAAAGACCATGAGCATATTTTCCACTGCTATTCTGAAATAATATTCTTGCAGGTTCCATAATCTAATGACAAATTTCCATCCAATCATATCATTTTTCTTTCTTATTTCCAAACATCCCTTGGAAAGAATATTTAAACTCTTGGTTCATATTCTATTTAACACTTACAAACACAAAAGTATATTCCTTTTAATAATCTACCTATCAAGTTTCTTATTTTATCTTACCTTTCCCCCAGGAGCTCAAGATGGCATAGCTCACTTCTGGAATAGCTTGGGTTGAGAGAGCGCAACTAGCTAAACATGCAGTGAGTTTCCATTGCTTAGCATGGATTAGAAATCTGGAACTTTCTGATCCTACTTCACAACCCTAAACTCTTTACCCCGTAGGCTCTCTTTCAAATAACCAACTAAGAAACCAAAGATAATCATTCTTATTTATCCTGGACATACAAGTAAAGTCTTTGTTCCTGACAGCAGCAAACTGGTAAATGTTTAACAACTACTAACTCTGATGGCTCCACTGCAATTGTCATGCGGTTAGCTGTCAAGCATTTGTTGCTCAGCTCTGCTCTCAAAGATCCAGAATATTTAATAATCACCTCCAGCACAATAGTCCCATCTGCAACAAACTTTCTACAATGCAAAGTTTAATATTTTACTCCATCTTATTCAAGCAGCAAATTTGAGTGCAATTAAATATTTCAAATATACAGTGTTTAACTTGAAGACATTCTCCTAGTGAAGACAAATGAAATAGAACAACAGAGAATAGATGGAAGCAAACTGTTATTTACACTAATTTGTTAAAAAGAAACAAAGAGTTCCTATATGAACTGTATTAATGTACATATTGTTGCCTTTTTAAACAGTGATTTGATTGTTTCATACCTCATTATTTGGATCTTGAATAACTTTATAAAGAGCTGGCACTAATATTTTCTTCCGATGAAGTGTTGCTGCATAATTGGAAATCTGCATTTCAGGTAATGCCTAAGGGGAAAAAAAGAAGCAAGAAGAACATGTTTCATATCAAGATTGGTTTGAATTTTCTTATCATGGTTCATTGAACAAGCTATAGTGGCCTAAATTAACGTTGATGAGATTCATACATCACACTAAGCAAAAAGCAAAAACAAACAATCCATATTTTGGCTTAGTGTTATATGTACTCTGGACCACCACTGCAAGCTAGGAAAGAAAACCTGTCTATAAATCCTCAGCAAGCTATTGCAAAGGAAGAAATGGGGGGAGAGTCATTGAGGCAGTGATATCACACAAAATTTCTTCAGATCTAGCAGCCAAACATAAAAGTTATTAAAGCATATTCACCTTTTAAAATTCTCACCTTGAATTCTGATAGCCATTCCTCTACCACACCACGTTCTGATCCAAGCATTTTCATAAGACTTCTATTCTTTTATTACCTTTGAAGAGGAGGTATAATAAAAGGGATCAACTTTAATGTCTCAATTATGTAATTTTATCTCTGAAAGTCCATATATTCATCATCCCATTGCCCAACATTTCAGCTGGCATCACACTTTTAAATGGGCTAGGGCAAAAAGGGGGAAGAGCAAAAGAGTGTCTGTATCGACAGGTATTCACAATGCAGTCCATAGTTAGTCTCTTTCCAAATACAGTACCAAGAAAAGTTGGTTAGACAAAACTGAATTGTATCATGGAAAAAAATGTGGTATCTTCTAATAATAAATCTTCTAATAATAAATCTGGGTATGGTATAACGGATTCATACAAAAGATGGTACAAAGGTTTCATAAATATAGTTTAAATTTGAATTCAAGAACCTTTATTTGCAGGTGAGCAGTTATAAAACATCTATTAAATAAATTACGAGCATGAAAAATATACATGTAGAAAGACTAAAAAGGAAACTAAATAAAAGAATGTTCTGTCATAATATTGACTTCCCAAATCCATTGTTTATTTTATTTTTATACTTAACCAACAGTCAATCCAATATTTAAATTGAAGCAAATTATAAAGTTTTGCAATTATGCTATGTAAGTGCTCTGACTTTTTGCAGAAGTAAGTGTTAGGTAAGCTTACACTTAGAGTCTAAAAGATTACAAGTGGAACAATTGTGGAAAACTGAGGCTCTAAATTAATTCAGCATTAAGGTAAATGGGAAATAATTGCTAGAAGTTAAAATAGAATGACTGCAGTGCTAAAGACTAATATTAATGCACTAACATCAGAGAACACTTTTTGGGCATTTTCTCACTAATGGCTTATAGCATCTTCATATCCAGCCATCACTAAATGGGATCATGTCTGTTCTCAACACTATTATTTTGGCAAAATAGTGGTTGGATGACTCTTAAAGATGCCGTATGTTATTACTGGGGAAATGACTATAATATATATGCACTAAAAGTAGAAACAGAGGTTAATTAATTGGAAATCCACATATCAATAATTCAGAAAAAGCTTCAATAATTTACAAACCTTCAATTTAGCAAGATTATTGCTAAAGCTATTGTTTTCTTGATATAAATGTTTTATATAAATGACATTTACAAGAGCCTGATTTATTTTTCAACTACAGTTGAAGGAGATATAATATTGTGTTTATATTTGTTTATACTATTCTCATACATCTGCTAATTTAGTAAAAAATAATTTACCAAAAGGAAACAATATACCAAGAATATAGAATTAGCTAAGATAAAACAGGATTTGTAAAACTGATTTTCATGGCACATTATTCTGATTTAAACAACCTTGGGTTAAGATCCATTACATTATGTTAGCCCGCAACCATAAATACTTCAAGAGAAGGCTTAGCCTTTAACATATATGTACATTCATGTAAAATTACAGTATAATACATATATTTAAAAGAGAAAATTTCTGTAAATTCTTCAACTTTACAAGTTACTGGTTTGTTCAAAATTTAGTACTGAATCATTCCATTTCTTCAGCTTCTTGATATGTGGAAGGAAAAACATGTTAATCTGAACATACTGTTTGCAATCCAGCCAAATTCCAGATATGTGAACCAATTCTCAAAGACTGCTGTCCCAGCTGGGTATTCTGTTCATGAATCTATAAATGTGACTGGAAAAGGCTGCTCAACTTTGTCCTGATAAACTACTGTATTTACATTCTATTTAATCTTTATCTCAAATCTTCTTCTTTTTAAAATAACAGTGTTTTTCATACTTATTCTGCTTGCTAGAGTATCAAACAACGGTAGTTTTAAGGGAATAGGCTGCACAAGTAGATAAAGTTTTAGCAAAATAGGGTAAACTTCTCTCAATGTTAATAAGCTTCTCAGTTGGTAATAACTGGGAGAGTGCATGGCATTTCCTTGTTGTTTGGACTACATTGTTGGCTGTAGGGAGTAACAGGAAGATCTGTTATATGCTGATGGCAGTGTATGTTATTGAAAAATTTCCCTTTCTCCTAAACTTCCCTAATCCAACTTACCCCCAAATTTCCTAAATCCATTAAATGTTTATGCATACCTCTCATCATTTGGCAACAACGTAAATTACACGCAAAACATAAATACTATCAATGAAATCATCTAATGTCGTTGGCTAGTTAAATCCAGGAAAGAGGAATCAGATAACATTTGATCACCTAGTTTTGAATAATTTTTAAGAAAAGAAAGCTGTAGCGTATTTGCCTTATCATAAAGAGATTGTGGAGTCCTTAACGTTCCTTGAGCTTGGTTATTTAGGATATTGTTTAGTGACTGATTATTTGTCTGGTATTAATACTCAGGATTAACAATTCCTTAATCAAGGACCTACCAAATTAGACAATCAATCAATCAACGAACAATAGCCTAATCAAGGAACTACCAAGAAGAAAACAATATTCCCATTAACATTGAAAGGGCAATCTACCATACATTAACAGAGAACAAACTTTTCTTCCTTCTAGTACTGAAGATGTTGCCTAGTTGGGAAATGAAATGTCTGCAGGAAAAAAAATCCCAAGCTCAGAGAGCACCAAGGAGTTCACAATTCAACCTTGGGCTATATATATTCTCTTCTATTGGTACTAAGTTGTCATTGTTTAGCTCCTCTTTAAAATACATTTTAACAATAAAAAAATGTTGCAGTCTACCTCTATTTGGATAAATTAGTTTTCTAATTGAACTGGTGGATGAATGCTGCCATTTCCCAGTCTGGAATACATTTGATAGTGCTTCATCAAATCATGGAAACTGTCAAAAACAAAAACATGAGCAAAAGATAAAGAAAACTATGCTATTTTTGGTTTTCAAATTCTATAGACTTGAAGTTCAAGCATATAAAATACCATAACATTAAAAAAAAAAAAAGACAGGGATAAAAATAGAACTCTCTAGTGTAGTGGTTCTCAACCTTTTCTTCATCATGGACTCCCTTTAAATACCTTTTGTGGCCGTGGACCATCAAGACTTAACTCAAGATTTAAATCATATTATTTCTTCAAGTCTTCATGGACCCCCTGTGACATTGCGGAGCCCCAGGGCTCCCCAGACCACAGTTTGAGAAACACTGCTCTTGCCCATAGGTGTCCATCTATTTGGCTTGCCTTGGCTGCACTGAGTGAAAAGGAATTATCTTGCACTACATACTGTAAGGTTTTCCACTTAACCTCACAATTGCCCCAGCATTACTCAGGGAATTTAAAAGAGCCAAAGAAACTCCTGAGCCGAGGTTTCAGCAAGCAAACAACTTTTATTTTGATCAAAACAGAGTTGGGTGACCCCATTTCTCTTCGTGGCTGGTAGAGAGATGAAGGCAACAACCAGAAAAGATGTTTTCCACCTTTTATACCTTTTCAGAATAAAGAGATCAGGTCTTGGTACTAGGCATAAGATGGCACAAAAAAACAATTCCTAGATGATGACTCATACACAGCAACCCAGGCTCCATCCGTAACTCCTTTCCCCCTCCCCTTACTGTGCTCTTTTCATATAAGCAATCACCAATACCTAAAGCATGAAGCCCTTACTTTTCCAATATATATATAAAGCATCTGATCAAGCAATTAACTACAAAATAATGATTACAAAATAACAAAACAATGATTACATGATAACACTATAAGTATCAATATAAAATGGTTACTATACATAAAATAAATGCTAATGTCAAACTTAAACATACTAAAATCATAAGCACAATAAAATCCCTTCAATACAAAACATATGATTAATGTATATAAATTATATAATAATGTTGAAAGTTTATGATGCTCTGGAGTCACATTACTAGCTATCCAGTACCACATGCAGCCCATGGGCTGCAGGTTGAACATAGCTGCTCTAGCCCAAAGGCAAATCACTCATATGGCATCTCCCAATAGTGCATTAGGGAGAGAAAAAGAAGAGGGCCACATATCTACTTGTTCCCTGCTGCTGGTCCAACAAAGAGAAAAAGAAGGTCAATAGCAAGCACTGGAGAAGAGACCTAGGAAAACAGCCTAGTTTTAAATACTGGAAAAACCAAAGAGATCGTTGTCGATTTCAGAAAAGGCAGGCACAGCCACACTTTTCTGTGCATTAATGATTCTCCTGTGGAGATGGTTACCAGCATCAAATTCCTAGGTGTGCAGCTAACAAGTAGGCTGGCTTGGTCGCTCAACAGCAAGACACTGGTGAAGCAGGCACAGCAGCACCTGCATTTTCTGCATTACATGAGAAAAGCACATCTTCCTTCCCCTATCCTTACCACTTTCTACAGAGAGATGATCAAGAGTGTCCTGTCACATAGCATCACAGTATGGTTTAGAACAGGGGTAGGCAACCCAAAATACTCAAAGAGCATTGGACCCATTTCCCACCGAAAACAAAACACTGGGAGCCGCAAAACCCTTTTGATATCTAAAATGAAGATAATACTGCATATATCCTTTTTTACCTTTATTATAGGGGTGTGTGTGTATTCGAATTTCTTTTTTTTTCTTTCTTTTTTTTGTTGACAAAGAATTAAAGAGTTAAATGGGAGACTAGGATGGCCATTTTGAGCTCCTTTTGCTCTCATCAACTAGCCATACCCTTTATGGGATTCGAACCTGGGCAGCCTGCATACTAGGCTGCAAGGCAAAAGTGATTATAACAGTAGAACTGCAGTATAGCAGTCAAAATACCAAGGTGCATCAACCCAAAAACCGGTCTGACCGGAAAAAAACTCTCTCTGTGTGTGTGTGTGTGTGTGTGTGTGTGTGTATCTCATAAAGGTAAAAAAGGATATATGCAGTGTTATCGTCATTTTAGATGTCAAAAGGGTTTCTCTCTCTGTGTGTGTCTCTTTCCCTCCCTCTCCCTCTTTCTGCCCTTGGTCTGCCAGTCCTCTTCCCCCACTGTGTGTGTGTGTGTGTGTGTGTGTGTGTGTGTGTGTGTGTGTGTGTAGAGGCACTTGTGCTTCCCCCCTCTCCCTCCCTCTGTCCCTCCCTCTCTTTCTCTTTCTCTCTCTCCCTCTCCCTCTTTTTCTCTTTGCTTTCTCTCTCTCGCTCCGATTTTCTGCTCACCTGGCAAGCTGGCTTCAAACTGTTCTGAACAGGCTGGCTCTCTCCTCTCCTTCCAGCTTCCTGTAGAGACCCAGCAAAGGAAGGACCCCTGCCCAATAAGCTTGTCAGCTTGTGAACAGGGTGAGGCCACTCTTTTTACACACACACACACACACACACACACACACACACACAGAGAGAGAGAGAGAGAGAGAGAGAGAGAGAGAAGGGACGTGCAAGTGCCTCTCTCTGTCTCTCTCTGCAAATGGCAGAAGAGGCTGGAAGCCGCAGGAGAAGGCTCAAAGAGCCACATGCGGCTCCGGAGCCGCAGATTGCCGACCTGTGGTTTAGAAGCATCACTGCTTCAGACAGGAAGGCGGTGCAGAGAGTGATGAGGATGGCTCAAAAGATCATTGGCAGTTCCCTCCCTTCAATCCAGGACATAGCACATAAGCGTTGCTTGAGCAGGCTCCGGAAGACTGTCTGGGACACTACCCATCCACTTCACAACCTGTTTTCCTTGTTACCTTCTGGGAGGAGGCTCCGTGGTATCCGAAGCAGAACATCCAGATTCAGTCAGAGTTTTGTTCCATACAGTATAAACCTTGTGAACTTTAAAGCTTCCTCCTTCTGTTATGTATTCAAGATGGACAGTGATTAATATTTATACGTTACTTATATGTAAGGGTGTAGATATATGCATATGTTGTATATAGTACGTTTAAATATGTGTTATGTATGTGTAACTTTGAGAGCACGCAACTAAATTTCATTTTTAATGTGTGCCATTGTGCCCATAGTTAAAAAAAATGACAATAAAGGCTATCTATCTATCTATCTATCTGCCTGGTGTGTTTCACCCACTCTCTGCCCACCTTCCAGGTCATTGGACCAATTTGAAGAGGAAGAGGTAGCTGGCAGAAACAGTGGTGGTAGTGTCCCTAGTTGCAATAACATCTGACTTTGGAGTGGAGGACAAAGTATGTAATAGGACAGGAATTCCTATTTCTCCCATGCTCCCTCTTTCTGCACCACTCCTTTTCTACAGCCTCTGTTAAGGCCTCATCTACAAATTTAGGTTCTGTGAGGGGAAAGAGACATTGATCCAAGGGGGGCCAAGAGGCCCAAGGCAGTTGTTCTCCCTACCCTGGTATAGCATGTATTACTGAACTTCTAAGATTACAGAGAATATTGATTTGTCATAAAGCTAAGAAATAAATTTTAATTTCCTGTTGCAAACACAGAGGAAAAAAGACATTTTACAATCAATTGTAAGGAGCTTATGCAACGTTCGACAATCAAACAACTTTTATACAAATTAACATTTGGCATGATTATACCTAATTGGTGAACATACCTAATGCTCTTTCTTCCTCCTATTTTTCCCCACAACAACCCTGTGAGGTAGGTTGGGCTGAGAGACAGTGACTGGCCCAAGGTCACCCAGCTGGCTTTCATGCCTAAGGTGGGACTAGAACTCATAGTCTCCTGGTTTCTAACCTGGTGTCTTAGCCACTATAAATAATGCTCCATGACAATATACTTGCAATTTATTCCAGATATGAGCATTTGAACCTTTAGACTTCCTACTCTAACATGAGTCAAATTGTCATTTATATTTTTCTCTGTTTGTATAAAAGTACAAGCAGATACCAGTTGGCATGGGCAGATAGTTCTCAACTTATGATCATAATTGGGACTAGAATTTCTGTGGTTAACAAGATGGTTAAATGAGTCAAGACCAATTTTACCATGGTTATTAAGCAAATTTACTAGAGTTGTTAAGTGAATCTGGCCTCCCCCCCCCATCGACTTTGCTTGTTGGAAGCTGCTGGGAAAGTCACACATGGTGATCACACGATCCCAGGACACTGCCACAATCACAAATACTTTCTGATTGTCAATGGAATATAATACAACTGCATACAAACAAGTGATCTTTTAGTACAGAGGTCTCCAACCTTTCCGGTCTCACGGACCGGAGGGAAGGAGAATGGTGTTCTATCCCAGCCTATAGCCGTCCTTGTTAAAGGCACAAGGACCAAACCCCTGTTGATAAAATAGGCTGGAGACTTTAAAACAAAACAAACCCCTTTTAATATAGGTGACAAACCTGCCAAATAGTCCAAAACACAAACAGCAAAACTCAATCCAAATGAAGGAAATAGTCCACAGGAAACACGATGCAAAGAGAAGAGTAGTCCCAAGCAAGATGAACAGACCAGGATTCCAAAAAGTACTTTGCAAACGGTCGCCTTCAGCAACCAGCACCGCCCACACCTCCTCTTTTTATATAGCAGTCCCAAGGCGTTGCCTCTCAGTGCCTTCTCCTTTTACCCTGGAGTTGCCGTATTGACTGCTGCTGATTTACTCTCGCTAATTGACGACGTGTGCGAGCATCAATTAGCATGTCCATCAGGTGTGAGTCCTCTGAGTCTGACCCATTCTCCTCACACAGCTGAGCTTCATCAGGAACACAACTGGAGGGCCCAGGCTCTGCATCAAACCGTGAGTCCTGTAATTCATCAGAGCCTCCCTCTGCCCCTGATGGCCCTTCAAATGCCTCCTCCACCTCCTCCTCAGATTCCTCAGACTCAGCTGTTGGGAGCACAGGCTGGCACGGAATCACAACAAACAGCTTCAAAATTGGTGCACACACGTGTGCACGGGACCACGCACACTGGTGCAGCATTAGCAGCCCCGTTCACACATGCAACATGCGCTGGCACCGTGTGCACGCGCAAACAGCCATGCAACCCCCGTGGCAGCTAGAAGCTTGTTCATGGAGGCGCGAACAGGTTGTGCAAGCCACCTGGGCTAGCGGCACATGTGCAAACAGGGATGCTAGCACAAGTGGGGGAAATGCACACCCACACATGCACGCACCAGCCAGCCATAGGTTGGGGACCCTTGTTTTAGTATGATGCCAGGATACATTAGGTAAACTGACGTAAAGCAAACGTAAGCTTAATTTATGTTCATTATAAATTCTACTGTGTTCAATGGGCATTATTTGCACCTATGGGCTTTATACAGGCTTTTTCAGGAAATATTCAAGGTAGAACAATATATCTCAGGACATATCATAGCTTAAAAGAAGTGTGGAGCATTGATAATCACTGTCTTAAAAGCTCAATACATTTTATTTACTTGAAATAGTTTAGTTTTTAAAATGTCCAACATATTCTTTATTGGAGAAAAAATGAAGATCTCTTTAATCTAATATGTCCCTATTCCCAGGTTACCCACTTAAAGAATAATAGTTATTTAAACTGAAAATAACATTAATGAAGCTGTTTCTACTGTTGATATATTAACAATTACAAAAGAAAATGCCATCATGATGACACTACGGTAAACCTGTTTGGATATTATGTTATCAATGGGGAAATATAAGTGTCTTGTAGGTCCCTATAAAAAAGGGAGTGCAGAAACACAAGTTTCAATTTCTGCCTCATCACAAAGACATAATAGTTCTTTAGATACCTTACAGAATCTTTCTTCCAAAAGATATAACAGAGGGCATTACAATGGGCAAATGTAAAAGCTTTCCTAGTGTTTTTAGGGGCATATATTACCTATTATATAAATAATGAGCAGGTACAATACTTTTTCCCGACTTCACTGGGATAAGCTACAATCACACCTCGCTGAGATCATTTTGTGAGGTACGTTGCTTGAAGATACTTAGGTCTGATCAAATGTCATTGAAAGCCAGAATGGTTTATGGTCACCAAGTAATTTCCATCAAAACGTCTGGCATTTACTTTAAAGAGTCAAAAAACGCAAGACAGTTTGCATTAGTTTGAGCCAGTAAACAACATAGGCTATCTAAGCATTAATTTTAATTGGAACCATTCTAACTTTAATTAGAGACAGAATAAGGAACCAAAACAAGTTCCTTGAGAAGCTTGACTTCTCCAGGTTCTCATGATTCTAAATTCTTATATGCACATATTTAGAAGCCATAAGACAGCTGTACTATTATTCTAGCCTCAAATACTTTTACTTTACCAGATATGATTACCTTATATCTTTAAAAAAACTTAGGATGGGGGCTACTCTTTTTTTTAATTAAAGTTTTTATTGAATACAAAAGAAAAAGAAAACAATAAAAACATTTGAACATGGTAAATCGTCTTTGACATACATCTCCGTCTTGTCCGTCCATATTATACATTTAAATATATATGATATATCTATATACAGCTGTACATTCCTAGTATCTACCTCTACATACATCTCTTCTATTGACCCCATTCTTTTTTCCCTCCATTTATAGAATTTATTCCAGATTCGATAAAATTCTGTTTCTGCCTGTTTTTTTAGGTTTTTTGTTATCTTGTCTAATTCTGCGCAATACATACTCTTTTTTTGACCTTCTTTTTCCAGTGATTAAAATTGGGGCTTCCGTGAGCCAGTGGCATGGAGAACAATGCCAATGAATTTGGAAGCCCGAACCTGTTTGAAATTGTTCCCATTCATTTGCCGCCTATATAAAAAATGTGCACAAAACATTTAGTTAATAATATACTCTAACTAGATAATAAGAGTCATTCATTTACTGGATTCTGCCCAAAGCAATGTGGATACATGTTGTACATGAATGCCAATTTTTCTTTCTTATACCAGGTTCCCACCAATAATTCAAGATGTGAATGCAGAGGTTAAGGCTAAGCTTTAAAAAAAAAACTGGTCTGTTGACTTTTTCTTCTCGTTATCTATTGATTTTTATTGGTATCCTACAGCAGAGGTCCCCAACCTTTTGGGTACCAGGGACCGGCTCCGTGGAGAGAGGTTTTTCCGTGGACCGGCAGGTGTGTGGTTTTATGTGCTGCCTGCATCTTGTGGATGGGGCTTTGCTTGTTTGTGCGGCCCGGTTGGCATGCTGTGGCCCGGTATTGATCCACGGACCGATGGCTGGGGACCCTTGTCCTACAGATTGAAAAAAATGCTGATTTCCTCAATCAGAACTAATCAGATGTGTTGGACTCCAACTTTTATCATCTTCATACAACACAGCAGGCAACATGTTCATCAGGAGATTATGAAAGTTTTAAAACATCTGGAAGATACTAAATTGGAGAAGGTTGTACTAATACATCCTATTTTAGGAACAGCTATATGATAAAGCATCATTCTCATTTATGCCAGGAGCTATATGGAACAATGTATATATATATATAGCTCTGTGAGTAAGTCCAGCTAAAATAGTCATTATTGACCTTCTTACCTTGTCATTTAAATATTGTCACAAAATATGTAGAGGAAAAGATGTCTGAAGATGATAGGGCCTGTCGTGTCATCAGTCACTATTATTTTAGCAAGTATATTCAAAATGCAGCCAAGACATAGAATATTATCTTATAAAAAATGCATGATAAAACATAATGGTAATTGTAAGCAGCATCCCGATAGCTACAGAATTTTATATTGAAAAACATTTATAAAAACAAGAAATTTTTGTTTTAAGAAATCAAAACTATCTGAACAGCTATTGGACAGAAGGGAAATGCCACAATGTAATTGAAATTAAAACAGCTACAGAGATCCATAATTAGCATATCTATTCTATCATGCCTTGTTCATATAAGATAATAAATATTACAGGAGCTTCAGTTTGATTATTATCTATTTCAGTTTTTCCTAACTTGAACTCCACCCTATTGCTAGGGATGATGGGAGTTGCAACCTAAAACATTTGGAAGGCTCCAAGTTGGAGAAACCTGTTCTATACCAAAAACAAAAACAAAAAGTGCATGGGAGGGAGGGAAATCCTATTTATTGCCTTGCAATAACATATTGCACATTAAATACAACAACATCTAAATATCTCATGCTTTATATATACTGTATAAAATGGGACTGTATCTCTGATGAACCCATGATTAATAATACTATAATGGTATCAAAATAACAAGCCACTACTTCATTTTGAGGTACTCTTCTTTCACAAATGGAATTCACTGGTGATATGTAAATACTTTTATAATTCTATGTTATGAATCCATTTACTTATCCCCAACACTACGCAAAGTGACCTCATATAGCTACATTAAGTTAAATAGAAACGTTCAAATGAAGCACTATTTCCATCCTTATGGTACAGATAAATTAATATAAACTGAATATCCAGGTTTAATATAAGCAATGTTGACAAGCATAGTCATGCTGGGAAGCAGAACAAAATAAATAAGGTACAATGGTGTAACAATATACAAAAAGAAAAAAGAAACAACTCACAGATCAACTCAATGCAATCCAAGAATCATTTTAAGTGTTTTTCTTCAGAACAGATTTCTTTACCTTTTTAGATGTTCTCACCACCAGTTTCCCTAGAAACAACATTATGTAGTCACCCTACACTAAACCTGAAGCACTCTCATCTACTAAGCGATAACTCAACCAACGCAAAATAAGACCAATTACCAATCCATCTTTCGTCAGCTCCTAGAACAGAATCAGCTCTAGTTACATTAAACTGAATATTGCCTCAGCAGGCTTTATAATTCTCATACATATAATTTTCCAAGATTTATTCTTATTTGCAGATAGAAGGATTTTTATCCACCCAAGTTCATTTACTCAGTTACATCAAGCCTGTTGAGATAATCCTTTAAAACAGGACCTAAAAAATGAATTTTCTCCAATTTTCCCATCAGTTTCTTTTTCAGACATGTATATTGATATAAACAACCAATTACAGCCACTCAGTTTCATATCTTAAAAGCATATACTGTACTTTGTTGGTCTCCTAAAGCCACATATAGCTGTGGATGGGGAAAAGAGAGGCCATGCTATTCTTCCTATTGAATCCTCACTATCCTTCTGTAGCCTCTCCCTTCTGTAGCCTCTCCCTGGCTTGCACCAAAAGCCATAAAAGTTTTCCACTGTATTTCAGACCACAGATTTATCATTCTTCAATTTGCATTAGTTACAGGCCCTAAAAATCTATTCGCATTGGCCACGGCAAATCCTGGTTCTCAAAAAAAAGTTCTACATATATGTCCTTTTATTCTTCAGTTCTTTATACAGAACCCATGCAGTTCTTTAAAGAATTTATGGACATATCTAACTTTTCACAGTGGCATTTGAATTCACAACAGCAGGCTTTAGATATTTTCAAAAAGACAGCATTGACTGCATGTTCAAAAGAGAAGCACAATCTACATTCCATTTTTTCTTCGTAGAAATGTTTGAACACTCTCTTAACCAATTTATAATACAGATTTCATCTAGGTCTCAGTTGTAAAGTAGGTCATATGAAAATGATGATTTAGGATTCACTTTACAAATAAAAAAAAGTCACACTCCTGCCACAAGCAAGAGGAACAGTGAAAGGCTCTTATTTATTCCAAGTGAAATTCTACAGCAGAGGTCCCCAATCTATACTCAGCGGCCCAGTACTGGGCTGTGGCCTATTGGCCACCAGGCCACGGGAACAGCTGGCGAGCTCTCCCACTCATGGTAGCGCTACCACACGGGCACTAGCAGCCCTATTTGTGTATGCACAGGGGCGCTAGCATCGCCACCAGCATCACATGGGCACTAGTGGCCCATGTTCTCATGTGTGCGGGTGCCAGTAGTCCATTTACGTGGGCACCAGAGGCCTGTTCGTGCATGCAAATATGCACCAGTGCACTGCCACGTGTGCATGCACTGCCATCATGTGCATGTGGATATTTCCCTGCTCCTCCCTTTCCTTCCGGGCCACCAATCTGGAAAGGTCGGGGAGCTCTGCTCTAGAGTACTTTTTTCCCGTCACACAAGAGTCTCATTTTTGGAGTAGCATTTGATTGTAACCCACAAACACTTATGTCACCATAAAATAATTAGTTCGTAATGCATTTTAAGCCTCTTTCCTTCTGCTGCTGTAAGAACCTAGCTACCTCAAAGAAAATTTTATCTTACACAGCACATAAAGGAAGTAAGAATGCTTGTCATAGCCTTACTAACTTGTTATTTCAAGCGATGGCAGTTGTAAATCATCACATGAAGGACATGAGGTTGGGGAAATTGATGAAATGTATAAAGTTCCCTTATACATTTCATCAATTTCCCCAACCTCATGTCCTTCAAGCCATTCTGTTATCTATCACCTTAAGTATTGTTACTTGACTAGTAACATTTGCTCAGGGCCTTATTTGCCACTTATGCTATCCAAATTTTCATTAATTAAAGCTGCCAAGGACTGAACTTGGAACAATTGCATGGAAAAGATTAGGGCTTTGGACAACCAATATGTAGCAAAAATGAGTTAGAATTTTCTGTACCTTTTTTGCTGCCACCTAATGCTTCTTTGGATTTCTGCAGCCCAGAAATCCTGAAGCCTGAAAAATACCCATCACTAAGATCAAATGCCTTAGCTTATACACAGGGCCTCCCAAAACCTGGTATGCTAGGACATCTTTCTCTCTCGTGAATAAAGATGTAGGTGATAATTCAACTAGGAAGAGTTGGTGATCCCTTCCCATCCCAGTTGAAAGAGTGAAAAGAAAAATGTTTAGCAAAACTGTTGCCACAAAGAAGAGGGAGTCAAGCTATCCTCCAAAGAACCTGAAGGCAGGACAAGAAGCAATGGATGGAAATTAATCAAAGAGAATAGTTTCTATTATTATTATTATGGATCATTGTACAGTCAGCCAGATGTTCAGACTGGATTTGGCATTTTGTTTACCTATCGAGTCCTTACCCAGGACCTGGGATAGGCAGATGTGGATGTTTGATGGTATTATAGATATTGTCGCAGGATGGAAGCAATTCCTAGTAAGGCTGCCTTTTGCAATTGACTAATGGCGAATTTGTCAATGCCAATGGCGTTCAAGTGGTGCTCCAGTTGTTTTGGGATTGCACCCAAGGCGCCTATCACTATTGGTACTACCCTTGCTTGCCTTTGCCACAGTCTTTCTATTTCTATTTGTAGATCTTTGTATTTTGTTATCTTCTCCAGTTCTTTCTCGTCTATTCTGCTATTTCCAGGCACTGCCACATCCACTATCCAGACTTTTTTGTCTTTCTTATCAACAATTGTTAAGTCCGGGGTGTTATGTTGCTTGTCTGAATTCTGAAGTCCCAGAGTAGTTTAATTTTATCATTTTCTATGACTTTCTCTATTTTATGATCCCACTAGTTCTTGTTTACAGGCAAATGATATTTCTTGTAGATCTTCCAATGCACCATTGTTGCTACTTTGTCATGCTGCTGCTTGTAGCCAGTCTATATTATTTATTTATTTATTTATTTATTTATCATCAACAACAACAACTGCTTTTGGTGCTCCTATCTTGGTCCTTTAGAAATTAGCCAGAGTCTCCACAAAAGAAGTATGACCAACCCTTAACGAAGCTGCTTATTTCAAAAAAGTCCTTTATAGAGTAGAATTTCTGACCTGCTTCACAATAATTTTTCTTCTATTAGCTAATTTGAAAAAAATACATTTTTTTTATTTTTAACATTAATGTTAAGGCTCCTGGTTGCTACCCAGCAGACCCTGAGTTCTAGTTCTGCCTTAGACACAAAGCCAGCTGGGTGATCTTGGATCAGTCACTCTGTCTCAACCCTAGGAAGCAGGCATTGGCAAATCACTTCTGAAATCTTGCCAAGAAAACTACAGGGACTTGTTCAGCAGTCAAGACTGACTCAAAGCACAAAATAAAAAGGGAAATAAAAAATCAACACCACCTTTGCACTTATGTAAACATATCATACATAAATAAGCTGGTGTGGTACTCCAGTACTCGTATCAGCCCTCTAGCACAAGCAGTAAACAGGCATTTCTCTTGTAATTAAAATTATAGATTTAATATTAAATTATCTGATATATTCATACAGAGCTCATTGTTCTTTAATGCTATTCTCCACAGACTGCAAAATATTTTAGTTACTGCTCCAGAAAGGAAAAATATGTTACAATTTTCTAAGAATTTTGACTTGATTTTTTTTTCAATCACATACTTTGAATTTTTTTTAAAAAATGTACTTATAAAAACAATTACACTATCATTTGAAAATCCAGTCACCTCAGTAGACTTTACCTCTAGCTTCAAAATATCCCAAAGCAATTGGTTTGGTACAATTCCTTCCAAAGGACAAATGCAGAAGAAAAATTGAATAGGGTATACTATTGCAGGGGTACGGGGCCGCAGCATGCCAGCAGCCAGTCTCCACAAACAAGCAAAGCCCCATCCATGAGATGCAGGCAGCACACAAAACCACACACCCTCTGGTCCGTGGAAAAACCTCTCTCCACAAAAGGGGTCCCTGGTGCCCAAAACGTTGGGGATCTCTGTACTATTGCACCTTGCAAGTAATCAATCTTTTGTTCAAACACAACCACTGCAAGTAAGTGGAACAGACAAGAAGCAAGGAGACGGGAAGCAGCAAATGGGTAGGAGCAATGATGCATCACTACAATGAAATCACCAATGGAACGGGGAGGAATAAATACACCTGCCCCCTGTGTCAACTAACTGATTTCTGTGCATACTATCCTGCTTTATTCTTTTTAGAGAAAAGGGAACTTAAAATATTTGTATGGGAAAAGAATAAAGATCTGAACTCAAAAAGGTCATGGTGCAGCAGTAGGTATTGCATAAATTTCATCCTTACAACATCAGTCATGTCACTTAGTTAAAGTTAACTTTGTCCTACATGAGCTGCAAAAACCCAGATAATCCCACTGAATGGCAATAAAGAGCCATAATGTTCAACCTCTTTGTTGCCCTCTAATATGTATCAGCTAGATGTTACAGCTGGATATGGTGAACCCTCTTTACCAATCACTTTCAATATTGTTGCACAATCACTATGGCAAGCTGACGAATAACTTTAGATTTCCAAACCTTGTAACTTATTTTTATTCTTAATTAAATAACAGCACAAATGTGTTGTCTGCCAACTTAAGTTGTTAAAAATTATGTGAAGCTCTCTGACACCTCACTGTCTACCAGTAGATACAACCATTACATAAATCCAGGCAAATGTATGTTAAAAAACAGTATCCCAATCTAAGAATGTCAGCTTCACGCAAATTCAGTCTTACAGGATAGGTATAGCTAACATCCTAAGGTTTAAATACTAGGACTGATTAAACATTTGCAGTCAGATATTTACTCTAATCAAAAAGGCTGCTAAAATTTGTAGGTCCACTGCTTGTAAAAGTAGTAGGAAACAGATTCTTCTATGACAAAAGATAGATAGACATTTTATAACTCTCTTCCCCCCCCCCTTTTTTTTTTATCATTTTCAGAGCTCTTACTGAATTTCAACAGGGGTTATAAACTAGCAGTGGAGTTCCTGTCAGTTTTAGAATAGAAACACAAAAATGTAATATAGGACCTAAAAATACAGGCCACTGAATTCAACTCTCATTCAGTTTAAGAATCAGTCACTGTTTCAATGTATCTACTGTGGTGACCAAGTCTTAATGAATGAGCAGTTGGTGCATGCATCTGATAAGTGCTATCATATCCCCATCGTAATATGAAGCCCATTCAGTTTCCTCAATCCCCTTTACAGGTCAGTTTTAAGTCCTCTAGTCTAAACAAGGTCTCTGAACCTGTTCCAGTTTGTCTAAATCCTCCTAAAAGTATGATTTCCATATTTGGGCAGAATACTCAAAGTAGGATTAATCAGAGCACTATTACAATGAATACTTCCTATGCCCTAGAAAATATGTTTTTATTGATATAATCTAATACATACAGCCCTTTCTTAAAGCCACATCATACTGTTGAGTCACATTTTGGCAAGTAATAAATTATAGTTCCAAGAATCTTATGTAAAAGCACTTTACTTACAATTAGTAAAAATTATAAGTTAGAGCGATGCCTAGGTACAGCCATAACATTAGTTTAGCTGAAAGCATATCTGAAAAATTAATTTGATTGACTATGATACATCCCTGCCAAATTTTCTATCCACCAATATATATAAGATAAAGATTGCATCACATTAAATTCAATCAAGATTGAATATATTCCCACATCTAGCAACAAAGACACTGAAATAAATTACTATAAAAGACAAAAGCAAATACAAGGGTAGAGTTTCCCTATAAAATATAAACAGGATGGTAGAGGACAGCAAAAGAGTACAGGTTGTTCCTGACTTATAACAATAATGGAGCTTGGAATTGCTGTCATATGTCAAGACAATAGTAAATCAAGTCACACAGGTGACAGACCCAATTTCATGGCAATTTTTTGGGGAAGCAGTCATAAAGCCAACACAACAGTTTTAAAGGAAATGTGGTGGTATTAAAGCAAATCTATTCATTCCTATGGGTGATATAAAAACATTGTAAATTGAAGCCTCATGATCACAGATTGCTGCAACAGGCTATGAAAGTGAATCAGTTGCTAAGCACCCAAAATGCAGACATGTGACTGAGGGGGGTTACTGTTGCTATCGGAGCTCCAGAATTGAGTCATAAAACCTCCTGGTGGGTCTATCATAACTCTGACCAGTCACTAAGCAACCAATCATAAAGTGAGGACTACCTGTAAAGAGGAAAAATGATAAACTCAGGAAGGCATAGCAAAGGATGCAAAAACAAAGTGTGTCATGTAACTTAATTCTGCAGTTACACTTAGATTGAGCAGAGAAAACTACTTCGGTTTTATCATAATATTTATTCAAACAGAACCTAAACAGTACATTTAAAACGGTATCTCTTGACTTGTTATATCTTAATTCCTAGCAACCACTCTGTCAAAGAACCAGAGTCCAATTAAAATAGAAGCAACAAAGCATCTTTTTTGAGGAAGGTATACGTGCGTTTGGTAATACAGTGTCTGATAATTACACCTACCAGCTGTGGTAATTTTAAAGAACATAACAATTTCAATAATACTGTTGACAATACTGTATCAGAGTAAAACAGTGGTTCTCAACTGTTTTTAATGCCGCGACCCCCCAACCGGTCGTAAGTCG